ATGCTCCCCACCCTTTATATGTCACTGATTCATTTGAAATATTGGATCTTAATCATTACAAGCACAACATAAAAAGAGAATTACATTTTACATTGGCTAGGGTTAACGTGTATGCACACCTAACACATGAAATTGTATAGCAGAATCAAAATTTTCAGATTTCACCAACCTCGCCTCCCTTCTCTCATGGGTCATTTTTAATATGTCACATTAAAATAAGTATGAGGATCATTAAACCAATGCTATAATTGCTGATTAGTCATACCAACGGATTGGCAAGAACAGGATTGCTTCAGGATTCCTTCAGCAACAATACAGTATAAAGACTGATAGGGTCATTTCACACATTTTCAAACATTTACTCTTTATCATCTAACAGTTGAAATAGATTTACTCACAGAATGATTGTTTCCCCACAAATAATTTTTTCCCAGGAATTTTCCCATACTTAGAAACTAAAATTTAGCTGCGTTTCATTGATCGGCTTGAACATTTTTTCCACTGGATAAGCTGTAAACACCTGGGATATTCTGATGCTGACATTGTCTGCCCCATCTGGTGCAGCAGTTGAGGACTCTATTCCACTGCCATTGTGAAACCTACAACGATCTATGAACAACATCTCATCATAACCAACATCCCCCGACTCATGTTCCATGGGTTACTTGAATATTTATGCCTTAGCTTCATTTTCCCTAATGACCCATTTTTTCTTTGGTGCAAAACACAGAGAGTTTTTTATTCACAAATGAATGATTAATTAGTGAGAGAATGTCCTGCTGAATTTGTGGATAACAGACATTATCCTTATTGATTAATGATTTCAGTGTTGTTTGACTCACTAAAACATATTTCTTCTCTTCTTTATCAAGTCATTGACATTATTATTATCTATGAAAGTATTAAATGGATGGTCTAATTTCAATTTAATTTTTTTCCATGATTTTCTCTAATTTCAGATTTCCACTTTAGTCCCTAACTTTGTAGCATAAAGCTATGGTTTACAATGGGTGTGGCCACCACTCCCTAGGAGGATATAAGCTTTCTCAGAGACAGGACAACTTGTGCCTTCCTAACATGATTTTCTAAGCACCACAAGCTTTCTGTTTATACAATAAATGCATACAAATGTGTTCTCTATATACTGTCTTTCCAGGAATATTTGCACTTAATTAAGGCAGAGATGCCTAATGATAATACTGCAGTTAATTTGGCATTCTAATAATGTATAATATCATCATAGATTGGGAAAATAAATTGTGATTGCTAAAATTACAGTGTGGGTAAATCACTTCTGATGTCCCCCACGGCATTTTGTCCCAATTAGTACTGATGAATTCATTGAAGACATATTTCTTCAGAACCTCTCAGTGATTATTAATCATCTGGCTACCAAAGATAAAATGAAAAAAAGGAAGTGACTCAAGTCTTTATTGACTTGTGCAATAAATATTTTTAATAAAGCTTATCATGTCCCATTTCAATTTTCCAAAACAAAATAACTGTCTGAAATAATTATTTGCTTTGCCTGAAATAGCCAGTTGATTCAAGCCATCAGAGTTTTAAACATAGAACTCTAATATTTTCTCAAATCACTTGAGGGGAAAATATGAATGAAGAAAGAAACTAAATTTACCAATCAATAACATACGTACTGTATGGAAGACAACTTGACTGGAGTTGAACATGCAATTCTAATGGTTCCAATTCTAATGGATGGATGTGCAGTCAGTACGTTCATAGAGGCCCCTTCATGGAGGCTTATGTGTCCCTGCATTTTTGGACAGATGTGCTGTCATCATTCCCAGTAGCTCCTTCCACACAGATGCCCTTTGGAGAGCCAATTCCATGTTAAATCTAGGAATCTGGTTTTTTTTTGCACCTCAGAACTGAAATAAAAACACTTTAAGAAGTAAAGGGTTCCAAACAGATTTTAGAAAATTGATCTTTCTTTTATTATTACAGGTAGATTTAATAATTTCTTTCAATCTGTTTTTTGGTTCTATTCAAACTTCAGTGGATTGCATGATGCCTGCCTACAATGATGACAGCTATCTTGTTTACTCCATCCATTCATCAGATGCTAATTTCTTCCCCAAAACTCCCTCACAGTGACATCAGACTAGTGTCTTACCAGCTGTCCCAGCATCCCTTAATCCCATCAAGTTGATACTTGAATCATTGCAATTCTCTATCTGTGCCATATATTTCATAGAAGTATCTTAAAATTGTTAATATCAAACTCTTCTTCACCCTCAGTTCTTATTCCATGCTGGTCATCTGCAAATGCTCAGGTGAAAAGGGACGCAATTCCTCTCCTAAGGGAAGATTTTATTAGGGTCATGAAACTGGTGTGAATTTTAAGTCAAGAAAGAAAGAAATGCACATGCTCTAGATTTTTATATGCCGCTGAGCTGCCAAGCAAAATCAGAGTGGTTGGACCTGGCTCTCTACATAGACTGAAACATGTGGTTTCATTAGACGACATTGCTTCTGTGTAAATCAGTCAAGTATTGTAACCAGTTTACTGCAACTCGGTAATAAGCAGCCTTAACCCTGTGTCCTGGAATTTGAGGTCCTGGGATTAGCTGTCTTCACTACTTGTTTCCTATTTCTCTGAGGCCCTGGTTTGGCAGCATTTTTGTTCTGCAACCTCCTATAATGTAACATTTCTAAATTGCGTGCAAGAGATAAGACTGAGGAGATGGAAAATTTACAGAAGCACAGAAAATAAACGCCATCTTTTTGCAATCCAGTCACACTTTAATTATTCTTTTATCATTGAAAATTTTTCCTAGAATGTGAGAACATTCATAATCATCACACTCTTACCGATTGCTTTTTTTTTTTCATTCTGAAATGAAATACAGTAACCTCAATATGTGCATATGAAAATACTGAAGATTTTGAGAGTTTTTCAAAATATAAACTAAGGCAATTCTTGTGGGAATCGAAGACAGGTTTACCAATGATTTGTGGAAGCTGATTTGTTTTCCCTTTTTTGATTAAGCATATTAAATAACTTTATAGCTTATTAAGGCATAGAGTTTATTCAGACATCTATGTTTGCAGCCACTTTTTTTTGACTAATTACATAAGTTTGGCAATCAGTGACTTAAAGAAAAATGTCTGAATGCTTATGACTAGAGGACATACAGTTTTCCTCTATGACAATTATTTGGACACATTGTTTAGGGCCTATATTTTCTTTACTAGAATTAGCATCCTAGAAACCTATGCTTTCATTAATTAATAAAGAAAAAACAGGAATCATGTAGAAGCTGACTACATAAGATAAAAGAAATATATATTATTTTCATTTTTAGTCAATTGACAACAAAGTAAATTTAGACACAGGAAATATAAAAATTGCAATAAATTGATCTCACTCAACTCTGAAAATCACCTTGAAACTCAGAAAATCCTCTAGAGCTTATTCAAGTTCAGAAGTAATTATACAAAGAATATTGTATAGTTGTTATACAATATGATAAATATGATAAATTATACAATATGATAAATTATTGTTTGGGCATCATAATTTGAAATAATGGAAGCAGAAAAAGTGATAAGATGAAAGATAAAATTTTGATATGGACTAGATATTTGTAAAGAGTGGGAAAAGGAAACATTGAGAAAGAGTTATCAGTAGGGGAAGATTTTTCTAAAGCATGATAAATCTTTCAAAAAGAAAAAAATTTTGAAGTCTTTTAACTTAGGGACCATATTTGTGAAAAACTCTATGGGGGAATATAGAACCAGTCTATGATCCTGGTTTTAAAAAAAAAACACTCATTAAAAAGAAAAATTTTATATATGTATCTTAAAAGAGAAGTAGTTTTCTTACAGGGCAGGGAGAGGGGCAGACCCCTCAAACCTGCCTGCTCTAAATAGGTGCTGCCATCCGCCGCATCAACACAAAACATATGAGACTTTCATGAAAAGGAACTTTAATACAATTAGTAAACAATACAGGAAAGGCAAAGAATATCGTTTCGATATCAAGCACCCAAAGTTACCTGTCCCCTTGTGGGTTAAAGTCCACCCAAACAGGATGGGCCCAGAGCAGGGCCCCAAAGCTGCCACAAGTCCTAAGCACATTTCAGAGGGGACCCACAGAGAAGGATCAGAAACAACCAGACAAGTCTGGAAGGAAAACAGCAAAATCAAAATCAAGGTAAAAGCTGCCATTGTCACCTCCATGCAGGTCTCTCACCCATGTCTGTGTCACCCAGTCCAAGACCAAAAGGCAAGCACTTTCTTTACTTGTCTCTTGGCTCCATGTGCCTCCTCCAGGTCTCCTTCTGGCTCCATCCTGCTTCCTTCCTTCCTTCGTCCTTTCTCCAGCTTCTTCTCTTCTCCCTACTCAGCTCCACCCTCCTTTGGGTGGGGCAGGAAATCTAAAACTTCCCCTTTTCCTGGGGACCACCCTGTTACAGTTTGGCAATTGAAATTTCATACATGGGTTTAGTAGATACTTGTTCTTTGAACACAAAAAAGATTTTGCCATTATCTTTATATTCTAAAGTTTATTCCATTTTAAGAAATATTCATAATTAGCTCTATCTTAACATCAAATATTGAATAAATAAGAATCTAAACTTCATACAGGAGAGCTTAGTTTTGACAAAAAGTTCTCTGAAATCGTTACTTCTAAGACAGCATGATAATGCTCTACTATTTTTAAGTTCCATCTTCAGTCTCCAAATGGCAATCCTATTTTCATGAATTTTGAATATTGTTCTTATTAATGCATTCATTAAGCTGATTTCTGTGCATTTGTTTATAACTGTTGACACTAGAAAGATATTTAATTACTGATTCTAAGTCAAATCTTGTTCTTGTACCTTTTTTTAACAAATAGGTTAGTCTATAAGGAAAAGTAAGCAGTTCTTTGATAGAGCTTTCTACTTTATAAAGACATAGACAAGAAGAAGTAAAAAAAAAGGGGGGGTAGATTTAAAATATTATTAGGCTCCTTATTAGGTCTTTACCCTAATTCATTGAGAGGAGTACAATTTTTTAATTAAGTCATTAAAGGCTTGTATCACTTGCTTGTTCCTCAGAGTATAAATAAATGGGTTCAACATGGGGGAGATGGAAGTATTTAATAATGTAATCCCTTTATTCATAGCCGTGTCATCTTTTGCTGAAGGTTTGATGTAGACAAAGATACAGCTGCCGTAGGATATGGAAAGCACAATCATGTGGGAAGAACAGGTGGAAAATGCCTTCTTTTTTTGCTGGGCTGATGGGAACCTTAGAATCGTTCTCACAATATAAATGTAGGATAAAACCACACACACGAGAGTCATAATGAAGATCAACACAGAACAGACAACAAGAATCTGTTCTACAAGCCAAGTATCTGAGCATGAGATCTTCATCAGAGGATTAGCATCACAGAGAAAGTGGTCGATGGCATTAGAGTCGCAAAATTCCAGGCCCAATAACAAAATAAATAGTGGCAACATCAGCAGCAAAGTCATCATCCAACAGCAGAAGACAAGTGTTTGGCAGACCCTGCGGTTCATGATGGTCACATAGTGCAGGGGTTTGCAGATGGCCACGTACCGATCATAGGACATGATGGTCAGGAGGAAAAATTCTGTTACTGCTAACACATATTCAAAATATATTTGACTTAAACAAGCACTATAGGTAATGGTCCTGTCACCAGTTGACAGACTGTACAAGAATCTGGGAATACAAGCAGAAGTGAATGAAATTTCTAGGAAAGAAAAATTTTGGAGAAAAAAGTACATTGCAGTTTTAAGGTGGGAATCCACTAAAATGAGGAGGATGATGGTCAGGTTTCCAGTTACGCTCAACATGTAGGCAATTAATAGAAATATGAAGCTTATAATCTGCAGCTGTGGGTCATCTGATAATCCCAGTAGGATGAAGGTGGTTATTGCTGTGTGGTTTCTCATTCCTGGCTCCTGACTTCCTTACAATCTGTGTCTAAATTTGAAATATAGAAGACTCAGAAGGAGGAAGAAAGATTCACTTATGAGGAGTAAGCAATATATATTTTTTATAATGACTTTTAAAGCTATTTATGTCTTTTGCTCTTCTAACGTGACATTAAATTGCTATGAAACTTTGCTTTTCAAGCATTGAAAGCATAACATCTAATGATAAATATATTTTACATTTCATTCAAGCAAATATGTATATCACATATATGTATATTGTTGCATATCTGTAAAAAAGTTTTCAGGTAATGACTAGCCTTCAACCATACTATTCCCATAAATCTCTTTTAATTTCCCTATATCAACAAAATTAAATATTAAATTGCCTAATTTTATAATTATTAATTGAACAGGACTTGTAGATTGAAGAAAATGATTATAAAAATTATTTTTAATTTAAAAATATTTCCTATTAATCACAAAAAACCCCGACTAGCCAAAGCTCTCCTGAAAAAAAAAAGAAGGGAATGGAGGCATCACACTCCCAGACTTCAAACTATACTACAAAGCCATAATCATCAAAAATGCATGGTATTGGAACAAGAACAGACATACAGACCAATGGAATCGAATAGAAAATCCAGAAATAAACCCACAGGTTTATGGTCAACTAATATTTGACAAAGGAGCAAAGACTATGCATTGGAGCAAAGAAAGTTTGTTCAATAAATGGTGCTGGGAAAACTGGGTCGCTACACGCAAAAGAATGAAGCTTGACCACTACCTCACACCATATACAAAAATCAACTCAAAATGGATTAAAGAACTAGACATAAGACCTGAAACCATAAAATACATAGAAGGAAATATAGGCGAAACACTACGGGATTTGCATATCAAAGACATCTTTACAGACACTTCACCCAAAGCAGTGATAGTGAAGGCAAAGATCAACAGCTGGGACTACATCAAATTAAAGAGCTTCTGCACAGCAAAAGAGACAATAACAAAAACAAAGAGAAACCCCACCAACTGGGAGAACATTTTTGCACACAACACTAATGATAAAGGACTGATCACAAAAATCTGCAAAGAGCTGATGAGACTCAACAACAACAAAGAAAATAATCCAGTCAAGAAATGGACAGAGGAGCTAAAAAGAAACTTCTCTGAAGAGGAAATGCGAATGGCCAACAGGCATATGAAAAAATGTTCAACATCACTTGCAATCAGGGAAATGCAAATCAAAACTACCATGAGATACCATCTTACACCAGTGAGAATGGCACATATTAAAAAAACTAGCAACAACAAATGTTGGCGAGGTTGTGGAGAAAAAGGAACTCTTCTGCACTGTTGGTGGGAGTGCAAACTGGTCCAACCACTATGGAGAGCTGTGTGGAGATTTCTGGACCTACTAAACATAGAGCTTCCACAGGATCCAGCAATTCCACTCCTAGGTATTTACCCAAAGAACACAGAAACATCCATTCCAAAGAACACCTGCACCCCTATGTTTATAGCAGCACTATTTACAATAGCTAAGCTTTGGAAACAGCCCAAATGCCCAAAAATAGATGACTGGATCAAGAAGATGTGGTACATATATACCATGGAATATTACTCAGCATTCAAAAAAGATAAACACATGCAATTTGCAGCAACATGGATGGCGCTGGAAGGGATCATGCTCAGCGAAATAAGCCAAAAAGAAAAAGAAAATACCGGATGGTCTCACTCATAGCAGGAATCTAGAAAACTTAAATAAGGGACCAGGAAAATGAATAACTATAAGAAAGTGAAAATCAAAATCAACAAAAACTATGAACCAGAGACACTTTTTGGGGGGTGGGGGCGGGAGGGGAGGGATTGGGGTCAGAATGGGGGGATTGCAATTGTATGGGGTATATAAAAATAAAATTTATTAATTAAAAAAAAAATATTTCCTATTGATGAATGTTTAGTAAAAAAATAAACCGAAATATAAGAGTAGATCATTCCAGTATGCTAAAAATTATATAGTTATGTACAATGTTGTGACACAATTTATGTCAATAAAATAATTGATGAAAAGATATCAATATTTTGTCCATAAATTATCTTGGGAAGAAACACAAGAATATATTCAACTCTGGCTATTCGGGGATGAAAGGATAATGGGTGGGTTTAATTTCTTTGTATATACTTGTATACATTTTCCAAATTATCTTCCATAAATAAGTGTTTCTTTTGGAATCTGAAAAATATAAAATGGTTTTCTGTTTTGTCTTGTTTTGTTTTATTTTTAAAGAGAGTGTGAGGCCCTTAGATAAAACAATTTGGGGAGATGGATTAAAAAATAAAAATTTACACCAATGTGTAAATTTTTATACTTAAGCAATTCATACTCAATTCTACCTGTTCTCTTCTTTTTTCCTCAGGATGAACCATTTTGAATAATGAAACTTTAAGTAAGTATTGTAACATTTCATTGAAGAGAGTACACTTTATGTTAACACAGCAAACTGGACTGTGGAATACTAGACCATGTTTTAAAAGGATGTTTCTATTTAAAAGAGAAAGGGGTCCTCCCTGGTAGCCCAGGGGTTAAGTCTCAGTGCTATCATCTGGACAGTCTGAATTCAATCCCCGGCCAGGGAGCACAGCAGACCTCTCCTGTCGCGCCCACTGCTCCCCTCTGCAGTGTATTTCAGTCAGTCTGCCTGTTCTGCTCCTCGCTCTGTCTCTGGTGAATCCTCTCACCCCCTATACCCCAGTCTTCTAATCAAAAATAATTTTTTTTTAATTTTTTAATAAAAAGAAAAGAGAGAGTTCCAGTACCCTTTTAAAACTTTCCAACTTGGTGATTGTTTTTCTTCACTGTCAACTAGAAAATATTGGAAAAGAATACTTTTTATCTATCATTATCAATAAATAGCCACATTCAGCACCTCAACTTTACTAAAATAACTTGCCTAAACAGCACATTTATGTGGCAAGCGTAGCTGAAATAAAGCACTGAACTTGCTCCTCATCTGTGATGAACATTTCTTTTTGACTTACTTTGTTTAATTGAGGTAACTTGGCTTACAATATTGTGCATGATTTAGGGGGACAGGGTTACACATCTTCAAATGTCAGTTACCACCCTGTACCCACTCCAAAAACACCCACAGTCCTTACCATAGACCCTTGGGCTCCCTGCCCCCTTGTTCCCCATCATTACCCTCCTCTTTGGTATCTTCAATTCTGCAACCATATTTCAAGGGGTTTTTTTGGTTAGTTCTGTGTCCCTTTGTTTTGTTTATATTCTTCACGTGAGTGAAATCACCCTGTTTATCTTTCTCATTCTGAGTTATTTCACGTAGCTTAATCCCCTCCCATTTCATCCATGTTATTGCAAATGGCGACATTTCATTTCTTTTACAACAGAGTAGTATTCCATATCTTTATCCACTCACCTGTTGTTGGGAATTCAGGTCGCTTCAATAACTTGGCTATTGTAAACAGTGCTACATATAACACAGGAGTGCACAGATCTCTTCAAATTAGAGATTTGGCATGCTCTGGATAATTCCAAAGAACGGAATTTCTGCAACACTTGGTAAATCTATTTTAATATTTTGAACAGCTTCCATATTGTTTTCCACAGGAGCTGGACTAGTCCACATTCCCACAACAGAGTAAAGAGTTCCGTTTTCTCTACACCCTCACGAACATTTATCATTTCTGGGGTTTTGTTACTTGTTTTACTATGGGTCATTTTCACAGGAATAAGGTGGTAGGCATTTCATCACTAATTTTGACGAGTGAGCAGATAAAAATTTCTTCAAACAAGATTTTCATCTCATTTATTATAACAAACCTATAACTCCTTAATTAGAGACAAAGAAATAATTCTGATGACTATATTCCCTCAGATCATAGGAGATGGCATTCTTCCTTAAATACAAGTGATATGGCTCCTTTCATTGGCATATCCCGAGTCTAATTAAGGAACATTTCTCCCTTCTTAATTTAGTGACTGGCTCTATTCACACCTTAGCCTGTCTGCACACTCAGCATGTCCATGATCACTGCATCAAGGCAAAGAAGTTAACAAACATCCCACTGAATGACACAGAGAACTCATAGCTTTTATGGCTGTGATTCATGCCTCCTCAGTACACCTGTCAGAAACATAAACACCTGGGAACAAGAACTCTTACATTTGGGTTAGTGCCAACAGCGGTCCCTTGTCCCTCAGCCACTTCCATCAACTACAATAACATTCACTTTCCGCTGCTTCTTCAAGACAAAGAGCTCTTCCTCATCAACAATTTAAAGAAAACATTTCACATAGATATCAGAAGTAGATTTATTGTGATACAAAGAGTCTTATTTGGTAGCTCTGACATATGCCCTCCTTCAGATGAGAGGACACGTCTATCCCCTGCAGGCCTGCTGCCACAGTCAGTCTCCCAGGCTGCCCAGAGGCAGGGCTGACTCTGATTCATGCATCAGGGAAGATTTGCTGTTTTAATAGGACCCTCAATCGTGAGGCTTTATCTTTCTCTTAATCATTTTGAAAAATAAGTGGACTGTATTGTGTAACCGACTTTACATATCTTTTAGAAAGCTGAGCATTTTATGCCCAAAAACAGATGACTGGATCAAGAAGATGTGGTCCATATACACCATGGAATATTACTCAGCATTCAAAAAAGATAAACACATGCAATTTGCAGCAACATGGATGGCGCTGGAAGGGATCATGCTCAGCGAAATAAGCCAGAAAGAAAAAGAAAAATACCGGATGGTCTCACTCATAGCAGGAATCTAGAAAACTTAAATAAGGGACCAGGAAAAAGAATAACTATAAGAAAGTGAAAATCAAAATCAACAAAAAACTATGAACCAGAGACACTCTGTGGGGGGTGGGGCGTGGGGAGGGGAGGGATTGGGGTCAAAATAAGGGGATTGCAATTGTATGGGGAATATAAAAATAAAATTTATTTTTAAAAAAATTTTAAAAAATAAATAAAAGTGATTGAAAT